CAAGAAGCGAGGGGAATATATTTTGTTTTTAATATGTTTGTGATTTGCAAGTGAGGAATATTTTTTTTTGTTGTTGGGAGTGTTTAGAGGATGCAAAGTGATGATGTGATAAGTTGAATGGAAATCTTAGTAGCCGACGTTTAATTTGCTTTAATGGAGGAATAAAGTCATTTGTTTACATGTTGAACACGTGAGGTATTTGTTTGCCGAATAATTAAGTATATCGTTGTTTTTACGTAATTTTGTGTTAATGTAAAAGTTTTTTAGAATATATAGTACGCAATTATTCAAAAAGTAACTTGGGAATCATTGAATATAGATGTTTAAATGAGTAACTGCTGTGAATGTGGATTGCGTTTACATTTTAAAAGTTCATTTATTAATTCGAATTCGTTATTTGGAATGACTGTGAATAACTTTAATTTGGATGACTCATGTTGGTAGGATTTCCAATTCTTGATATTGAACCAGTAAGGTAAAGTGAGAAAGATGTTAGATTTCATAGGGTTGGGACGTTCGCAGTTCCGACAGTCGGGCCGATTGAATTTGGGGGAGTGTTGGGTAATTTTCTCCGAGGGCAACACGCTTTCCAGAGATAAAGTCCATAAGTCGGGGATTCGTGGGAACCCAAAAATCCAAGCCTAACCTCTCCCCCTTAAGAAAATCATTATTAAGGACACCAGCTGTGTAAGGGTATTGTGGCCTTACTGTGTAAGTGCTGATATTTGTCATTTTGCGATAAATTTGAGGCTACCAACCAGCAATTGGGTTTAGTAAACCTTTCAGGAAACATGAAGGCCAGCGTCCATTCATTGGATGCCCATGTAATGATCTGGCCTTTCAATTTTTCTTCAAGAAGTGGAAAGATTTATAGAAAAGAAATGCTAGCAATGATGCTTTTTCATTTTTATGAAAACGTACACCAACAATTAAAGGGAATTTGGTTAATCCATCGATGTCTTGATTCCTTCTGTTGGTTAACCCATTACTGCTGAGCCACATGTATAGCCGTCATAACAAATCGCTTGATCTGCGATGAGCAGAAAATTACACTACGTCTAGCAGACTCCCACTCTAAAGGGCAGGACGGTTTCAGAAATCACAGGAGTCAGTAATGCTGAGAGACTTGGCTTCATATTTACTGCTAAATGGCATATATCAGCTGAATATCGCTGCTTGGAGATTAAATCCACAGCATAGTGGCTATTGAACGTATAGAAGGTAGGAAAGGTGAACTTTAGATTTTTGGGTTTACATGATACCCCAGTGTTTAGGTATGTGTGAATAAACTACAGGCTAGAGGATATTTATTTGAAAATCTGTGTTTTGGACTTCATCTCTGGAAGGTGCATCATTCTTTTTAATAAATACCCAGTTTGCATTTTAATATGTTGAGCTGAACCTTCAAAATTCATGAATGTTTATTTCAGATCTGAGTGTATTCACATGTACATTGTGATGTTTGTAGTTTAATATATATTTATTTGTAAATTATGAAGATTTCTGGCCAAAGATTGAATTTTTCAATATCCAAGTATTTTGCATTTAAATGTTATTCTTTTATTTTTCAATTGTCTTAAAAATCCATTTAATTATTGCATAGTTAAAGTTGGCAAAAGTTTGAGACCAAAAGTGATATGAGCATTTGCTGTGACATTCACACCTGTAGCAGTACTACTAAGACTAGTATTTTTACCACACATGTTCTGGCAAGATAGATCTTGTATATCTCTCTGGGAATCTCTTCATCTCTCTTAATCTCTTAAGGAATCAGGGTAATTATATAGTATGGTCCCCAACTCCACACCACAAAATTACTTAAACCATCAAGTTGCATTGACTATGCATACCCTTTGGGCGCTAACCCATGGGGAAAGGCTATAATTTTCAATTTGCCCAAACTTAGTGTATGTACCATATAGATTAATTGGAATGAGTCCAGGTTATTGTGCCAGCATGAGGTAGGGGTTAGTAAAGTACAACGTTTATTTACCCAAATTAGGTGGCAACTGTTCCAGTTGAAAAGCAATTAAACCATGGGTCCTGTTTTAATGTATACAGTCCTTAGTTTACGAGTGATAGTACTAATAGTTAATTCCTTGGTGATTAAGTACTTGTAGTCATTTGTGTAAATGCAATAAATGAAAACTAGTGGACTGGTCTTGTAGTTTTCCCAACTGCAGCTACTGGGTTAAGAGCATTAGTAAAGTAAACACCCTGGCATTTTTTCCTGCACTGTTTTCATAGGCAGTGCAGTGTATTGCCCAGGCAGAGAAATTACCAACTTAGATCCGGTCACTCTCATTGTTGGTTTGGCCTTGATATTGGTGGTGACAGATGTCTTCACATACATTGGAATTTATCAGCAAATGAAGACTTTTCTAAGATGATCCTCAGCTGAAGCCTGCTGATGATGGAAGGGCTCTAGAAGTGTAAGATATCCCTCGATTTTTACCGTAAACTGTCTTCTACTGACAACTAGTGTTAACCCATTGGATGCAATGGAATGATCACATGAAATGACATGCTTTGGATGTACAATGCTCTTGTGGGAGGATTAGACTCGATTGTCACTTAGGGACCATTTTTTGCATTATTTCCAAGAGATGAGGAGACTTAATACTGTGCACATGTTTATTTGCTAGGCCTATAGGCTACCCAGGAGATTTAGCACTTAAGTGAGGCTAATGTCGGATTTTGGTCCACGTGGAGATAGCTAGGCACCCAGATCCAACATGTTAAGCACCATGTGAAGTAAGCCATTTTTGCCATAGCATTGAAAGTGTGGAGACTATCATAGCAGGTGTCTTGCAATGACCTTTCTATTATTTGCAATTGCAGTTTGACTTGTATAGTACAAGGAAAGGCTTGATTGATTTAATACAATTTTTCAACCAAAGTTTCATTTAATATTTTAAATGCCAACCATTTCACAAAGAATCTATTAATCTTTGTTATACCATATTCAATTTACTTAGGAATACACAATCGTATAAAACACATTTTATCAATATTTCCAAAATTTTACTGGTTATTAAAACGAGGAAAATGTTTTGCCAGATCTCAGACTGAAGTGGGTACATTTAAACGAAACCTTCAAGATTAAGGTCACAAATAGATTAAACTTACTAGTGAACCTAAACCTTGTCATTCTTTGAAATTGTTGCTAACAGACATGGGTCACCCACTTTGGTCTGAATCCTCTGTGGCTAAGTAATCATTAACACAACAGCTGATTACAGAGTGAACGTGCCTACCAAAAGCAGTCCGGTGTTCCACTGAACCGCAAAAAGGGCTTAAAAAAGAAGCAGCGTAGTTTAAGGTACACTCGCCAGGTGGGCCTGGGCTTCAAAGCCCCCCGCGAGGTAAGCTGGCAGCCAATGTTGCTGCTATCCCTAGCGAGACCAGCTAGAGGGCATGCTGACGTAGTGTGTGTGCTGTTTTGCTGTGTCGGGCTGTCTAACCACCCTTCGCAAGCTGAATATGCCCCGCGTCCTTCCTTCCTAGTGCTGCAGAAAGTGGTCTTAGAAGAGGACATAAGAATCAGACGTTTTACTCATGATTCTTGGGTTAAGATTCTTTCATTGGTATCCTCTTCCAAGGTTACTTTTATGCTGTGTCCTTGCTTTTGTGTTTAATGTCTTGATGCTAGTCTTGCATGGTTGTTCCAGAGTGAAAAGGCTTTCCAGAAGCAGCTCAAAATCTTCAATACTGCCAAGCCCGACAAGATTAAGAAGGGCAAACCCAAGCGTAAAAACATCAAAGTCGGGCTTGGCTTCAAGACTCCACGAGAGGTAGTAGCTTACTGTGTTGATTTTGTTGTAGGTGTGACCTACAATGTCTTTAAAATTCACTAGATTCCATTTACATTTGCAAAGGAGAACAGCCATGTGTATTATCTTTGGCATGCTGTTATTTGTAGTGTGCTTGTATTTCAAAATTAGAATGATTTGATTGTGCATATGAGATTTGTGTAATGCCTTCAAATAACAATAGGATGACAAAGGTGCCTATAACTCAGTGATCTCAAACCAATTACTTTTCATTGGGCATAAGATTAAATCTCTTGTATTTATAGTAATGGTAAATATTCTCATTTTCTCCCTTTAGGTATGTTAGTATTAAGTTCATTTCATTAGTTAGAATGCAGTTTATTGCTTAATTTGGAATACGGCTATTTGAGAACCTTTGAGATCACCTTGAGTTGTACACAATCTTTAATTTTGATTGTGATAGGTTGAATATATTAGAGTAAACGAATGTAGCTGTTTCAAAAGTATATATGTGCTAAATGCTTCATATAATTTTTTTCAGACCATTAATTCTTTTTTGCCTTGGCATGGAAATTGATGTTACCAAGCAGATTTGAGATTAAACCACCACCCTCCCTTCTTGCTATTCCCATCCGTCTCTTATAACCCTTATTCCCCCCATTTTAGATGTTGAAATCATAATATCATTTATTTCCATAAAAGAATGACCCCCTCCCACCTCCCTCTAGTGTCTAGCTTATATTTTATAAAGCTACAGTAATGCAGTTGATAGTAATGTAATTTTATTTTACTTAGTTGTAAAAGTGATCACTTGCTTTTGTGTGCTTGAAAGCTTGAATAGCTAAAGTAATGTACTGTTATCTCTATACTGCATAATAGTCAAAATAATTAAGCAACATGAATTGGATGATGTACAAGTATAGTGCATTTTTTCTTGGAATAAACCTTGTTCTTTACCCATGTCTGCAGGCTATTGATGGTACCTACATTGACAAGAAGTGCCCATTCACTGGCAATGTCCCCATCCGTGGCCGCATCTTGACTGGTGTTGTCCAGAAGATGAAGATGAACCGCACCATCACTATTCGTCGTGATTACTTGCACTACATCAAGAAGTACAACCGGTAAGTTTTGGAATAAGGTTTTTAAATTGGTTATTTAGTGTGCAATTGCTGCTGAATCTGTTATCCTATTTTGATATTAAAGTGAAACCTTTAAGTGTTAGATCAGTTACTGATATTAAATTACCCAAAGTACAAGTGTTTTATTTTTTTCTAATTTCTTTTCAGATTTGAGAAGAGGCATAAGAACATGTCTGTCCACATCTCGCCCTGCTTCAGGTAAGAAATTTGTGGGCTTTGAAGTTGCACCCTGGCATTTTTCCTGCTGTGTCTCCTTGGGCATTGCAGTGTATAGTCCAGGTAGACAAATTGTCAACTTAGATCCGGTCTCTCACACTATTGGTTTGGCCTTGATATCAGTTGCAACAGATACTAATTGTAAATGATTGAAAATGGAGATATGAATGGGCTTCTGTGAAGCAAACTTGTAAAGCAGTTGAAATAATAATTCCATATACTCTTGTAGGGACGTAAGGCCAGGTGACATCGTAACAGTGGGCGAGTGCAGACCTCTTTCCAAGACAGTTCGTTACAACGTACTCAAGGTCACCTCTGCCCCTGGTACCAAGAAGAGGTTCCAGAAGTTCTAAATAAAAGCCTGTGGAAAAGTTGCTCTTTTCTTTTTCCTTTCATTTTGATTATTGTTTTTGGACAGTTTTAGAATGCAAATGAGGATCTCTCCCTCTTTTCAGGCCTCCTCCTACCCCTCCTTCTCAATATAAAGACATACAGATACTGTTTACACACAAGCTTTTAAATAATTCTGCAGTGCATACTAGACCTTGTAGTTTTTGGCTTGTATTGAATTAAGAGAAGAATATCTAGATGAAAGCATTTCATTAAATATTAGCATTTGATGTGGGTTTATATTCTATAAACCTTAGTGTGTTTTGTTTGCACATTGAAGGCTGCACAAATGTTTAGCAGCCAGTTAGTATTAGTAAGCCCCAATTATCACACCTGAGCCATCATTTCCAAGAGTTACAACTTCTGTGACAGAATAGGTGGTAACTACCGAGTTGCCAGGTGTATTCCTCTTACCTTGGCTATCTTCATGCAACTTGTACTTCTATTGGATATCTATATCATGTTACAAACCACCATGAAATATCAAAAACATCTAGGATACCGTGTATCAGTTGAGAGAAATAACCCAAACAATAAAATGGCTACCTGTTAACTGCAGTCATTCCCATTACAAGATAGGCCACAAGCATAAATTCATTGCTATCTTGACTTTGATCATGAGGCAGGTTTTGGGTGTTGAGACATCCTAATTGCCACTGGAAAAGACACTGATATCCCAATCCCCCCCCCCCCCTTTTTTTTTTTAAGCATACTTGCCATAGTGATATGATATGTCCACTGTAATAGTTTATAATTTAAACTAGATGGCTCAATTACTTAATCACCAAGGAGGCAATTGTTAGTCTTATCTATCATATTTCCTGTTCTCCTTGATTTTTGGAAAGAAGCATTTATTTATTTATTTATTTATTAGTATTTAGTAACCTGGTAATAATCATACTTTCAAGAATAACAAGTATAAACATTAACAAGTTGACAAAACTTTTTCATGAATTCAAGGAAAGACAGAAATTTAATATGAACACTTGGCTTACTAATTAACTACTTGGTATCTGATATTGTTACATACCATCTGTGTGCAACATTATTCACTAAACTACAGTGGGCAGTATATTAATCCATGGTCATTGGGTTAGTATGACATTTTTTACAGTATGATTATAAAAATTACAACAGGTAAGTGTTGTGGAGCCATCTGTGTAAAATTGACTAAAATTACAGTGGATGTATCATGCATCTTTGCTGTCCCCATTCACTGGGTTAAAGAGCATTATAAATTCACACCCTGGCATTTTTCCTGCACTGTTTTCATAGGCAGTGGAGTGTATTGCTCAGGCAGAGAAATTACCAACTTAGATCCGGTCACTCTCATTGTTGGTTTGGCCTTGATATTGGTGGTGACAAGTGTCTTCATATGCAGACTTTTCTAAGATCATCCTCAACTAATATCTGTGTTTATGACCTCAGTAAACTTTTACATAGATAAAATGGTTTGAAAATATAAGATATCCCTTTTTTCTTTTAAGTTTACATTTATCCTTAGTCCTGAAATATGTTCATGAAGTTTTGATGGTTTACTGTAGCTGTAGTATTTCAATTTTGTATACATTATATATTATTATTATTTTTTTAATCCGAAGTTAATTGCTTGTTTTATTAGACAACTAAAATTGAATTATTATATATTAGAACTAATTTCAGAATCAGAGTTTGTATTCCATGGTTCTAAATCTTATAGAAAGGGTAGATAAATTTTCTTATTTGAATAGCATTGCTATGTAACTTTGACACCATACTATTTTTCCTGTGCCTATATTGATTAATCTATTAATTCTCCCTCCTATTGAATTGAAATTAGAATTATATGCACCTTTTGAAAAGTGAGATTGATTCTCATGAAGGAACATCTGGCTTAAAGACATTGCTATGGATGAATGGTCGTTGGGAAGCCTGACTTATCTTTAGTCCGGGTTATCTCGATCTTAAACATGGGTAAGGTTGTAGAGTTTTCAAAATAAAAGTGAGACTTCATTCTGTTTTCCTTCTCCACTTAATTAGGTTGTGTTGATTTTGTCACAAATCCAAATCCCATTCCTTTTTCACAAGGCCTACACATTTTACATCTTTTGAGGAAAAAAATCTTATGTTATGTATGTGTATAAATGTATTTTAAAAATGTAGTTTTCATATTTCAACACTGAACTTTGCCCATTTACCAAGCAAAGTCCTATTGTACACACAAGTTTCTAGTGTCTGGCAGTGTCTCCCATCTATATCTTGCAGTAAATGGTCCAATTACCAGGCAGTCCACCTTCTCTTGCAATTTAGTTTAACCACAGGCACAGGTGTCAATTTTGCTCAAACAACCAATATTGATTTCCTGTTGGACAGAACTTGATCATGTAGGTGTAGCCTAAGTCTACCCAGGTGAAATGCCCCTTGCAGTTTCGAGTTTTTAGAAGTGAACTCAGAGGGTAACCCAAACTGAGTATTACTATCCCCCCAATCTCTAACTTGTAGAGGGGAGGCATTGGAGAAGGGAACCTAGGCCCAATGTAGGGGATCACCCCTACCTTGGTCCTCAGCCTGTGCTTCAACAAATTTTGCATGGTCCTTTCTTCTCCTTTCCTTTTCTTTTTGATCATCCCTTTGTTCTGCCCACTTACCCTGATTGTTTACTCAGTTTTGCCATTTTCACCACAATAATTTATCGTAATTCTCCCCACTCCCTTACTTTACTTTATACTCTACCCCATCAGTTCACCCTCTCTACCCTTTTCACTACCATACTACCTTCTAGTACTATTCAACTTTTAACTCTTATCCTAATCATTCACACGTTCCTAAAAATGTTTGATACTATATTTAACCATAGCTCTATATGACCTTTGATGTCATGTAGCACTTCCTTACCTCTACACATTGGATTGACATGCACTGGCAGAAGCAAACATAGAAATGCTGTAGAATTATGGCAATATAATGCATTATTTTTTAATACCAATGTTTATGCTGTTAAAAATTGAAAAACATATACCAAAATACTTTATTTTGAACTAATAACTTTGTTGCTGTATATTTTTAACTTTCTTGTTAAGGATGTTCCACAGCATTATCAATGTTAGCTATGTTACAAAATTAATTCAAGGATACTGAAAAGACTTCTCTTTACCATATTTATTTTTTATCACACAACTTTCAAAATTTACACAATAACTTGTACAGGTATTTGGAAAAGTAGTCTATAAACTGTCCTACAGTGTAGAAATATGATGGGTATTTTTATTTGCTAGTTACAGGCTTGAACATTCTATCAAAATTCAGGTTGACAAATACATTTCCTGACTTATTAGGGGAGGCACACATTACGTTTGCAAATTATATCACTGACAACTGCCTTTCTTTGCACTGGCTTTTGATCAGTGTTTTCTTTATTGTTGGTCAACATTACTGAACACAATACAGCTAGGGCGATGTCTAGGCTGAAGATACATGAAAGTGTAAGACAATTTTTTTTTTCTATAGTAAGCTTGGTTCAAAAGTAGCTGTTTCTCCGTCATTCTATATGAGCATATCTTAAAGGCCTATCCATATGGGCGAGCACGAATAGAGGCGGCATCACTTGTGGACAAACTACTTAGCAAACTAGTAGTTTTTGTTTTCTCACCTGTTGACGTCACCTTTACAGTTGCCTGCCGGTTATGCTTGCCTGTGTAGATGGATACAATTGACAGACCCATCAGCAGACAACTATATACATATCAACTCTACCCCCCCCCCCCCAATCCCTTGCTCATTCTTGTTATGGAGGACTAAGGAGACAGTGACTGTGGCCCAAAGTAAAGGATCACCCCTACTCAGCCCTCGCCACAACTGATTTTGCATGGTCTTGGTTTTTCCCCTTTACTTTTCAACATCTTCATCTCCTGTCCAACTATCCAAATTATAAATTCATTTATACCCTTTTTGCCTCAATACTTTACCATAATGCTTCATGTCCTATGATATCTAGCACATTTGTTTTAACCTTTAACCATTCTGGGAATCCACAAACATCACCTTATGACCCCCTCCCCCCCAAAAAAAAAAAAAAATAAAAATAAATAAATAAAAAATAAATAAATAAAATCCATGCCCCTCCTCATCACTATATTTTGAAGACACCACTAATGACCCTACTTGTTGACTGCCAATCCACTCATGCCCACTTGCATGGACAGGCCTTTAGATTAGCATATATAACTATAAACACACACATCAGATATCCATTGTCTATTGTCAATGAGTAGTTCTAATTGAATTATTTCTTTACGGTCTACTTGGCTCTAAAGGCAAATCATGTAATGAAAGCTGGACGCAGGATGCATCAAAGTACTTTTATACAGTATAAAGGTGTGATTCAAAAAGAGTGGCAAAGGCCCTGCAGTATGAAAATTTTATCACAGACAGAACCTTTGGTATTCATATTACTTTACTAAAACTACTACATTCAGCAAAGAAAGCATTATCTTAGTTTGCATCACATAATTTAAATAAAGCTCTTTATTGTCTTGAAAGGTCTTGTGTGAATGACAACACAGACACCTTTAGAAGCTGGTCCTGTTCTGTTTTGTCATACTACACAATCAAATGTTTGTAACTTGATGACATACTAAAGTCATCTGCATAAATGAATAACAAAAGTATTTTGAAATTATAGTACAAATCATACAGGAGTGAAATTGGACCTTTTCCCAACAAAGTATACTTGCATACATTTTAATGAAGTGTCTCTCAGATCTACAATTTGAATTTTCTTACAGAAAGGGTCCATTGAAATGTGAACATTTTATTTGGATATGAAAATTATAAATTGAGGTATACACAATTAATATTTTACATACAGAAAACATATTGACTGAAAAATAAAATTAAATAATAGCATTATCAGACTGTAGAAAAATCATGTCAAAAAAAAAAAAAAAACTATAGTTTTTACTAATCAACAATAAAAATGTATATTTAATTTCTTGCATGACAATGCATAATGTGGCAAGAGATAACTGACATTATCTTAGTTGAAAATCACTGCCAGTCCTTTCTGCATAAGTTCTACTTGCTTAGTTTATTGTGTAAAGTCTAACTTCCTGATTTTTTGTCTACAGTAATAAAGAGTTCAGCTGTTGCCTGGTTAAGCTCATCAAATAATGTAAAGGCTTAAAGAAATTGATCCTAAACAATGAATGCTGAACTTGTCATCTTTTCTCAGTGGGGAAATGGAATGGAATGGAATTCAAGGAAAATGTAGCTACATCATTAAAATACAATAAGATATAATATGAATAATACTGGGCATGAGATTTACAGAAAAATAACAAATTATAATCTTTCAAGTGAATGTGAATACATTTAAGACATGTTCACTGATATATATCAGTTGTATAACATATACAAGCACTCCAATCCACTCTGGCAGCAGGTCCACTTAAATTATATATAAATTTCAAACTGCACTAAAGTAACTTTCCACAACCACCAAATGTCTTTTTTATTGATTTTTCAAGTATTTCAAGAAACACAAACTACCTCAAAAGTTGTTTTCCTTATCTATCTTTAGTGAACATATCTCAAAATAGCTTGTTATTCACAATTAACTGTATTTTCACGAAAGTAGTTTTTTCATATTTTTTAATTAACTCACTTTGTGAATACTGCTAAAAACATTATATTCAAACTCAATATATAAATATACTCAAAGTCATTCTGAAGATCTATTAATAAATGAAACCTCTAAAGAATATTTTTACAGTAAAGAAAACATTGTGTACTTGCATAAAGACACAGAAAGAGTTATCTTGCAATGAAAAGTCTTTAAACTGAAGGGTCAGACAAAGCCAGATATAATCGTCATCTAGGCCCTCGCTGGTGTGATGGTTTCACCTTGACTTAGAGCTATGTGTTAAACAGACACATGCTCCATTGGTCTAATGGCTTACAGAATTCCTGCTAATGTACATGCCATATTAATGATGACTTGTAATATTGATAAAGCATTACCTACAAATATTCTTATACCAAATACTTTAAGAGTTATTTATTTGTAGATCTCTTCAGAAAGAGAGGAAGTTACAAAATTTGAATGACAAACATCACTTACAGAGTATTAGAAATGTTCAGTTAAACCAAAATGTCATGTTTAATGCCCTTTAACATCTTATCAAAACCATTAATTCAAACCTATAATACGATGAATAAATACTGCCAGATATCACAACCAAAAACATACAGAAAAGCATACTGTACTAACACATAATGTAACTGCTCAAAGTTCAGTTACACAAAACATTTCCACTCAAGAGTATACATTCTATTAATTGACATTCTTTGGCTATGAACAAAAAGTCAAAACAAGTATCAGAACTGCATTTCATACAAATATTCAAATAGGATACTAGTTTCACACCAAGGAGGAAACTACTGGTACGTGGAGTCATAAGATAAATAATGCTTTTATGTGATAACTAAAGTTAAAAGAAAAGAGAGAAATACCATAAAGTATACACATATATGTTTTTTTAATGCAATCATTACTGTTGACATAAAAAAAAAAAAAAAATCCACTTTGCATTTTTCTGCTCATATGTAAGATTGAACATTTTAGAAAGCAATCAAATGTACGTGAACAAGATTAAGATTTTAAAAGGTTATATATTTATATATATACATGATCATAGCTGCTACTAATTATATATATAAATGAATATATCTTCTCATTATGATTAAATAACTTTTATTAGTCAAATTGTGAAAATGATTCATGCATTTCCTATCAACAAGAAAGATTATCATAAAAAAGGAAAGGTCTTTGAAAGAATCTGGGAAATTTTCTTTCCTAGTAGGAGCAGATACCCAACAGGAAAACTAAACAGAAAGAATAAAGATCAGAACAGAAATAACAGAATGTTATCTCATTAAAATCACTCTCCCTTCAGGCTACCTGAGTATAAGAGAGCCATCCTGGATTTCTAAAAGTGACATACATCAAAGAGAATTTGTCTTTGCTGAAAAATAAAAAATATAATTTTCTCATAAAATATCCCACTAATTTCCCATAATATATACCAGAATACATGTCTCGTAAGTTGCCAAATATTACATTTGGATTCAGAGTAGCAATTTCAATCTAGTGTATTCTAAACCCTTTCATGAATCAGAAACTTTCTAATAGATTTTTCTTTTAATCTTTGATGCCTACTTACTATACACAAAACTAAAGACATCTACATGCAGTACACAAGGAGAGGATATGCAAGCAAGGGAATCTTTTCTCAGTGAGATAAATACAGGATGTAAAAAGCCCATACATTTTTATAAAGATTCCCTATTTAGGTGAAGTGTTTCTCGTAAAGCACTGCAACAGTAAAGATTTCTCACTTCATTAGTTACTATACTGTGCTGGTACTACTACAAATTTATGTTCAAAGGAATCTGAGTCAAAAAGGTCCAGTTTTGCAAGTGCTTTCAGGTTATAATGACCTGTATACATTTCTTAGATAACCCAACTTTGATACAGTATTAATAAACCATGATATCCCTCACACACATTCACTATGACAGGCCTTATTAAAATACATTTTGTATTCATGTGAAGAATACTGTACAATTACACAGTTAAAGTTTAACTAACATCAATGAATCAGTTTATGAAGACACCTGTCATTTATGAATATTTTATATTGATCACAAATAGAAATGAATAAGCTGGATAAAAGACTTTCCTCAAAAATATAGCAATAACCACTTCAAAATACCATAGTATATACCATATCAAACTTGACCATTAACTCAAATTCCTTAGGACATTTTCCCACTCTTGTACAGATATATATGACAAAAAAAAGAAAAAAAAAATCCATGTGGTATATTAAAGTGATGAAAATCTTAGGGCTAGATAGTAAATATTGAAAATAGGCATTCTAAAAATATCTTGCTGTCAAAATAATAGAAAAACTGTGATGGTGACTAAAAAAATTTGTCATCCTATTTCTGACAATGGAGGGCATTAAAGTTTTATATATACAGCAATGTCTTCTGCTATCTACTCCAGGAAAAGTGTGTGTATTTAACAGTGTCTTTAAAAAACTAGTAATACTAAAATCATCTCGTCTCTGAAACATGACTTTCTTATATTACATGAGTCACATGTGTTAGAAACAAATGTTCAAAGAATAATGAAGAAATATCATCAATGAAAACAGGTATTAAAACAAACATTCACACATTCATCTATCACACAACAATAACAAACTAATATCCAGTAGCCAAAGGAATGTACTTACAAAACTTCTAGTGGAAAAGTGTTTACACTAAGTTAAAACTACCAGCACAATTCCTATCACATGGAATAAAGGCAAACCACACATAAATATCAGTAAGTGTATATCATTGATATGCAAATTCTCTTCATTTCAACATAGCAAATCGGAATAAATCTCATTTTACAAAAGTTATTTCAGCAGAAATACAGCGGACTTCATTGTCATTTTTCAAAATGTTGTACCTAACTTTAGCATGAGAGCTACGTTCCTACTGGCCTCTTACCATGGCAAAACACGTCTCTCCATATCTCTATCTGCTTCTCGCCATGACTAGCCTAGCACACTTGGTACTAGCCTCGTAATATTTGCTACCCTAGTCCACTCTCGGCATTTGCCTCTTGGTGGTTTCTTACAACACTCATTTGTATTGCCAGGGGTTCCCTGAGCTGAACTTGTCGTCTCTCTGCAAATTTAAGTAGCTGCTCAATGGTAATGGACCTTATGTCTACCTCCTCCTGTAAACCCTGTCGTTCCTGTAAGAGTCCCACCAGCTCTCCAGAGGCCTCTGAAAAAAAATTATGCAATTTACCCTGTGAAAGGTGTAGTAGATCAAAATTAAAAAGAATAATTCTAAACAATAATTACATTACATTTAATCCAATGGAATTCATAGTGTATGTGTATGGGTCAGAATAAATGAGTGTGTGTCTTATAAATATCATAAATTATATGTGTGTGTGTGTGTGTGTGTGTGTGTGTGTGTGTGTGTGTGTGTGTGTGTGTGTGTGTGTGTGTGTGTGTGTGTGTGTGTGTGTGTTTATATGTATATATATGTATATATATGTATATACATGTATATATATGAATATACATGTATATATATGTATATACATGTATATATATGTATATACATGTATATATATGAATATACATGTATATATATGTATATACATGTATATACATGTATATACATGTATATATATGTATATACATGTATATATATGTATATACATGTATATATATGTATATACATGTATATACATGTATATACATGTATATATATGTATATACATGTATATATATGTATATACATGTATATATATATACATATGAATATTTATATCTCTATGTATATGTATATATATTCATACGAATATATATGTATATATATATATATATTCATATGAATATATATGTATATATATATATTCATATGAATATATATGTATATATATATATTCATATGAATATATATGTGTGTATATATATATATATATATATATATATATATATATATATTCATATGAATATATATGTATACATATATATTCATATGAATATATATGTATATATACATATGAATATTCATATATGTGTGTATATATATATATATATATATATATATATATATATATATATATATATATATATATATATATATATATATATGTATATGTATATGTATATGTATATGTATATGTATATGTATATGTATATGTATATGTATATGTATATGTATATGTATATGTATATGTATATGTATATGTATATGTATATGTATATGTATATGTATATATATGTATATATTCGTATGAAAACACACACACGCACGTACGAACGCACACACCAAACATTTTGGTCGGTGAAGAATCAGAACATTAATAATGAAACATTAATATTAAATAAAACATTCTCATCATTTGCAGGAAAAAAAATAAATAAAATCTATGTATTTCGAGAGCCATCTGACTAACTTGAACATCTAAGATAAGGAAACACTTATAGGAGACAGAATCAAACAGCAATGACTGCAACTTATGGCAGACATGAAGAAAGCTTGTTAGTAACAGTAGTCACTGCAGAAAAGACCAGGGGCATAAGCAAGAGTCCATGTATAAAATGAAAAAATACACTTAAGCATGGGATATGGTTAACCCCAAGCCGCCGGGGATGGCATGTACGTAGATGCCATGCCTGCTATCAGTTTGATTTACTGTCTCCACACATAGATGGCTCCGCAAGTACATCATTAACATGGAGCCAATTGTGAATACTACCTGTCTCACCTCAATTACCCCTTTTCACCTGATTTTCAAAAATATTTTCTGGTATCTAAAATTGCTATGCGTAATACCAATAAGACTATAATAATCATAAAGCCTATAATAAAAATAACAGCATTAATATTGATAGCATTAAAAAAAAATAAATGGTGAAATCAAGTGCAGTCACAAGCTCTACTATTTGACTCCTTTGTGACTAAGCACTTGCAGAGCCATCTATGTGCTGAGACATTTCACAAAACAATACTAGAATGAGCAAAACATTTCCCCACAGCCTTTGGGTTAAAATATTTCAATAAGGGATAAAAAAAAAAAAAATTAAATAAAAATAAATAAAAATCTGACAAACAGAAACCAAAAAATATTATCATGCACAGTAAAGTCCGGATAAAAAGCATAAATAAATGATAGGGCAGGAGAAATTGAGAAGGATTAGGGTGAAGAAAAACAGCTGAAAAAATTATCAGAAAAAAAAAGGGGGAAGGTTGGCCTGAATTATGTACGAGCAGCTGTTCCTATACAGTTTTTTTTCCTTCTTCCGCACGCAAGAGTTGATTGGTAAATTTTAGGAGGAAGCAAATAAAATCTTGATATACATACTCTTTGAAAATTAGGCCATTTACGGTTTAAGGTTTACCTGCAAGAAAGGAAATCACAAGAAATATTTTACATATGTCTTACAGGATGCTCATCAAACAATGTTTAATCTGCTTCCTTTTAAACATAATAATAATTCAAAATATAAACTAAAAAAATTAAATACTACTTAGTAACAAAAAGGTTAGGTTGCACTAAGAAATAGGTAATAATAATTCTAAACTCAGACTACATACAAAGATAATTTTCTCCTTACCCTGAGCAATATTCTCGAGTTCCTTCTTCAGTACTCGTAGGGAGCTGAGTGATAGAGCTTCCACTGCCAATCAAAAAAAATAAGGAAACAAATGAGGTACATGTTCCATACTGGCTAAAAGGCCTACTATTCCCCAAATATGTTTACTGAAAGGTGGAAAGACATTAAAAATCCCACTGGATTTCTTCATCTTTTAAGTAATTTTGAGAATCTTGGATCTTTCAGGCATCAACACACTACACAGTGTTGTCATTCATCTTCCATTGGGAGAGAGAGAAAAAAAAAAATTAATATATATATAAAAAGTCTACACTCATTAATCACATTTCATACTAGAAAATGCTTTACTATTAGTAATAATAGTAGTAGTAGAATAATAATAACAAATAACAATAATAATAACAATAATAATAATAATAATAATAATAATAATAATAATAATTACCTATAGCAGATTTGGACTGATCCTGAATATGCCTATTTTCACCAGATCACATGCCAATAATCAAAGCTACATCCTAAAACACAAATAATAACCTAGTAAAACTTAACAACACTTACGTTCTTCAGCCGATCTTCTTCTCCATTTTGCCGTTTTGAACGAATGAATCTTCAAGGGAGTTTTGTAGGGAGATGAGTTTGTCACTCGGATTAGCACCTCTTGCTCCATAGCTGTAACAGGGAGGGTCATGGTGTAAGTAATCAGGCAAGTAAATGGCTGAAGAGAAAAAGTAAATGGATTGTCTAAGAGGAACCATGTACATTTAATTTTCTGTGTAAGTTCTAGTACTAAGATTAATCTGTCATAATATATATATATATATATATATATATATATATATATATATATATATATATATATATATATATATATATATATGTATATCTTAAACCATTCGCCCTGGATTTATGTTCTGTCCCCTGTAGTTTTTGGTAAATTTTGTTATATACAGATGGCTCCACATGTGCTCAGCCGGCAAGGAGTCTATCAGTAGGCCCTAGTTATCGATCCTGATTTTCCCATTCCTTGAATTGGTGGGAAAATGTCTTTTTCTTATCAATACCATTGCTATCGATGTTATGATGTTATGATTATTAAATTGTCATAAAAATATTTTAGACAATGAAATGATACAAAAAACCCTTTCCTAAAGTGAAGGAAAAGGGTAAACAGGTGAGATAGGTAGTTCTGATAAACTGGCTATTTAGTGATTAAGAACATTTAGAGCCATCTTTCTCTAAATACAATAAATAAACGTGTATTGCAGTGGGCATGGCATGTATTCTTGCCACATGGGGTGAATGGGTTAATAATAATAATAATAATAATGATGATAATAATAATGATGATAATAATAATAATAATAACAATAATAATAATATTTAATAATAAGATGATGATGATAACAATATTACTACTACTACTACTAATAATAATAATAATGACAACAATAATAATCATTAAAAATAATAATAATAATAATCATTATATGAAAATAATAACAACAAAATAACAATTGCAGTAGCAACAGCAACAACAATAGTATTAATAATAATATTGATATCAATGTTAGCATTAGTCATAGAAATAATAACAACAATAATAAAAACAATAACAACAAAAATGATAATGATAATAACAATAATAATTCTACTAATAATAATAAAAAAATAAAATAAAATAAAAACATAATAATAAAAATAATAAAATAATAAAATAATAATAATAATAATAATAATAATAATAATAATAATAATAATAATAATAAAATAATAATAATATCAATAATAATAGAATTAATGATAATAATAATAATAATAATAATATCAATAATAATAGAATTAATGATAATAATAATAATAATAATAATAATAATAATAATAATAATAATAATAATAACAATAATAATAACAACAATAATAAAAATAACAACAATAATAATAATAGTAATGATGATAACAACAATCATTATCATAGTCACAAAAAAAAATTATATATATAAATAAATAAAATACTAGTACTAATACTACTACTAATAATAATAATAAAATAACAATAATAAAAAATAAATAATAACAATTATAATAATAACAATAATAATAACAATAACAATAACAAAAATAAACAATAACAAAAATATAACAATAAAAAAATAAAAGTAAAATAACAACAATAATAATAACAACAACAATGACACAAGACAAAATAATAATAACCCAAGAATAAAAACAAAAAAACAAAATAACACAAACAAACAAGATAACAACAAAAAACAGCCGACGGTAAGAACAATAACAACAATAAAAACAAGAACAAAAAGAATGGCAGCGATCACAAACAACAGCACAACTTCACACGGAAAACAAGCAACCGTTGCGTAAAACAACAATTGTCTATTGTATACTTAATGGGTTCTCTAATGAAACAATTTTCCTCGTAATAATATTAAGGGTAATTATTATTCTTCCTTTGATGTGTCTGTTATTGTCCTATAAACCTTATATCCTACATTTCCTGAGACAGATAATGCTAAGCCACTATCCTAAGGTATATGTAATGGTGTTTTTGATCATATTGTAGATAATGTCAATAACAAGGATGAAAGAGAAGGAGAGGGTGAGAAGGAAATGTTGAGAAGGAGGAATAGAAGAGGAATAAAAGAGGAGGAGGAGGAGGAGGAGGAGGAGGAGGAGGAGGAGGAGGAGGAGGAGGAGGAGGAGGAGGAGGAGGAGGAGAAGAGGAGGAAGAGGAGAAGAGGAGGAGGAGGAGAAGAGGAGGAAGAGGAGAAGAGGAGGAGGAGGAGGAGGAGGAGGAGGAGGAGGAGGAGGAGGAGGAGGAGGAGGAGAGAGGAGGAGGAGAGAGGAGGAGAAGAGGAGGAGAAGAGGAGGAGAGAGGAGGAGGAGGAGAGAGGAGGAGAGAGGAGGAGAAGAGGAGGAGAAGAGGAGGAGGAGGAGAAGAGGAGGAGAAGAGGAGGAGGAGGAGAAGAGGAGAAGAGGAGAAGGAGGAGAAGGAAGAGAAGGAAGAGAAGGAAGAGAAGGAAGAGAAGGAAGAGAAGGAAGAGAAGGAAGAGAGGGAAGATGAGAAATAAGAAGCAGAGGAGTAGGAGGAGTAGGAAGCAGAGTAGGAGGAGGAGGAGGAGGAGGAGGAAGAGGAGGAGGAAGAGGAGGAAGAGGAGGAGGAGGAGGAAAAAGAAGATGAAAGGAGAGGTTTAAGAAAAAGAGGAGATAATATTAATAGGAGTAGTAGTAGTACTACTACTACTTATAAATAATAATAATAATAATAATAATAATAATAATAATAATAAATAACAAACAATAATAGATCCCAATGATAATGATAATAATAATAATAATAATATGTAATCATCCTCATCATCATCATCATTATCATCATCAACATCATCATCATAACAACAACAAAAATAATAATGATAACAATCACATAATAATTATATAATAATAATCACATAATAATAATATGATAATGATAATAATAATAATAATAATAATAATAATAGTAATAATAATAATAACAATAATTGTTATTATTATTACCATAACAATATCAACAATAACAATAACAATAGCAATGATGTCAACAACAACAATGAGCCTGTTATTCCATGAACATGCATTATGAAACTACTTTTAATCCTTAGTCAAAATTCTGCACTTTTAGCAATATCTCTACCAAACAGTTGATAGTTTTAAAACATCCCATTCTGAAACTATAACTACTCTAATTTCACATCTTAAGACAAAGACATATAAGACTGTATAATGTCCAAAATTTATTCATGGAAAGAAACAGATAAGACAGATGAATAGATACAATGAAACAAAGAGATCTCCAAAATTTGCACTTCTAATTATACACAACTAACTATGTCTCTTCCTTACTTGCACTTTATGCAGTGTAAATAGAACTCTAACCTTATCAACCTAAAAGCTGATCCTCAGTATGGGAAAAGGTTAAGAACATGTCTACTATCAGGTATTACAAAAACGACAGAACCTGCAGCAGAAAACAGTACACACTATATTTGTGTTTATTGCAACCTGCCATATAGGTAAAGCTTTGAAACTGAATGACATTATAGACTGATCTCATTATATAATTGACAAGGACTGGTTCTACTATATTTGGATACACTAAGTTAGAAAAGTTGAATATCAAAATGAAATATAATTTAGGTTTTAGACAAAAACTTTGTTGGCCTTTACTGCTCCAAGAGTATACAGTTCAGTGGAAATCACTTGACTACATCTACCAAGATTTGTTTACTTCAATATAAATCTGCAAAACTTGTTAAATTTGCTGTGAACTATAACCAATGGACAATCAATAATCAGAGGCCCAAAATAATACTGGGGCAATGTGAACTCTTCACAGCAGCCTCCAAGCTATGACAATGGGAAAAAAAAAAACTCCAATCATTATATTCTTGCAGATCAAAAATTCAACTGGTTCCATTTTTTACAAGAGGTTGCTTGGCATATCTACAAGCTCCAGAATACATAGGGTGGAATTTTGTTAGCAGTTGCCGAGCACTGACTGGCACGAAGACTGAGCAGAGTGGCAAGAAGCCTATGGCAAAATGTATAAGAATCGTCAAAAAGTTTATCAAGAAATGCATAAGAATCCAGTGATCTATCAACTCTGTGTACTGTTTACTGTGTACTATAAGTATATCAAAACAAAATTTCAGTTCTGAAAAGAGCACATAAGGGGGAAAATTATAAAGCAGCTACCATGGCCCCATTGCCCACTAGCTTGTCCAACTTCCTGTCAAACTCTCTCATGCCCAATTGGGGGTATAAGACCCAAGGCTTACAAGCCTGGTTCTCATTCTTTCTTGGACAAGGGCATTACTTTTGGCATTGCTTGGAAACCCATTATGGCAGGATGTGTCATGTTCCTTTACATGGGCACAAATGTAAATAACATGTAAATGGTAAACAAATACAATAAATTAACACATGAAATGGCAGATTAATTCTTAGCATTTTACCTTAACAAAGACAAATACTCTCAAATTCCTGTTTCCTACAAAATCTTCATTATCTTCCCTACCAACACTACTTTCACACAGGAATCTTCCATGCTAAGTGACCTTTCTAGCTGCCCTTACCTAGACCTTGAAACAAGACTGACCACAGCTCTAACTTCCCTTCCACAAAAACACAAAAACCATTGTCTGCCAACTGCTACTGAACAAAAACATTGCTGTTGTAATTATCACATATTTTATTTCTTACGTGAATATCTTTATAGCCTACATTGGTGGTAGATACACAGTTACAAAATTTACCTATTTCTTCACTAGAGGTTATTAAATACATTTCTATATTTCCCTTCCGTCAACCTTTTCCCATTTGGCTTCCACGAGTCTCATTAAATTCTCTCTCTTTCTCTAAACAAAGAGGAAAATTTGTATATCTTTTTTTTTATAGTGAGGATCACAAATTTACGCTCCTCCTCGCTTCCTGGGCACTGAAACCATAGCTACATTGACGTGTTATCTGTCAAACCTCAAAACACAATCAATGCCCTTAAAAATCCCCTTCTGCGGAAATCCCCTTCCTGTTCTCTCACCTGTCGGGAACCTGTCGGGCCTCACCTGTGTTACCTGGCGCACCTGATTCCTCCAAGTGCTACTCCCTCCCTCAGCAAGGCATGGAGGAACTGAGTGAGTCACAGGAAGTGAGGAAAAGACGTGAAGGCTCTGTGTGTGTGTGTGTGTGGTGGTCGACCTCGCCTCCTCGAGCCTCCCTGCCAGGCGACCGTCAGCTGTGCGCGTG